GTCCAAAACACATTCCCTTAATTTCACAAGACATTTGTGGCCATACGGGTTTAGAGCTTTGTCATGAATATAATATTTCTGTCATCTCACACTGCCCACTCATAAGGGCCACTTATCACGAATTGTCAAACTCCATAAGTCCATGAGTTATGGCATAAAATTTTGTATTTGTCTGCCAGATTAAGACAGCAAACCTTTCTATAATTTTCAGTCTGATTTGTCATACTAGATTCCCATTTAAATGCCGTTTTGTTGTCGATCTTTAAAGCTAGATCAGTTTATTTCTCGTGTAACTCAGAAATATAAGTAACTATGGCCAGAGTGCTCGAAGACCTATTGTGACCCCTGTAATCCTCTTTTTTTTTCTTTACCACCCACAGGACGAGCATGGGGTGAACAATATTATCATTACACTCACAGGGAAGCATAAACTAGTGAGAGTCATACAGCCCTGGGGAATGAGAAGCAATCAGGATTGATCCGAGGAGAGTGGTTCCAATTCCTTTGATTAAGAGCCCTTTACCAGTGTCAAGATTGGGATGCACAATAAACTAGTCGCTCAGAATATTGCTTGGTGATGCGTAAGCAAGTCTTAACTCTCATCAGCAGACTGTCAGCTTCCATTTCCATTGGGGTGGCCCAGTGGCCTGGTGGCTAAAGCTCCCGCTTCACACACGGAGGGCCCGGGTTCGATTCCCGGCGGGTGGAAACATTTCGACACGTTTCCTTACACCTGTTGTCCTGTTCACCTAGCAGCAAATAGGTAGCTGGGTGTTAGTCGACTGGTGTGGGTCGCATCCTGGGGGACAAGATTAAGGACCCCAATGGAAATAAGTTAGTCCTCGATGACGCACTGACTTTCTTGGGTTATCCTGGGTGGCTAACCCTCCGGGGTTAAAAATCCGAACGAAATCTTTGATTGTCAGCAAAATGTTAACTTTGAATCACGTCGCACTTCCTTGCAGTATCAATATTCTGACTTGGAATTTGGATCAAGACATTTATGTACGAGTATAGTTCAGAACATTAATTAAAGGAGACGTTTCGCTGCGAGTGGCTTTTTCAGTCCTAATACAGAGTAACCTAAAATAGGGTATTAAAGCCAAGAAATCCACATGTGGTGAAAAGTTTCTTTTAATGTTCTGAACTGTACATATAAGTGTCTTTATCCACTGCTTGTCGGTCTCAGCATACAATTTTCAACTTTGATTGCTGAACTGGGCCGTCCTGTTTGTATCCAAGGTTTGAGGAGATCGACACTGCTTTTCGTAACGAGAAGCTGAAAAGTGCCAACACTGACAGCATCATTTTTCCTTCAAACACATTGTTCTATCCGTACTGTGCTCGATTTTGAGAATAACGATAAAGAGGAATTACTCACTGGAGTTGCACCTTCACATCGTGTCAGATGAATATTTGTTGAGTCCACACCATTGTCTTGAGTGCCGCCAAAACCAACAGCATTTCTAAGCAAGAAAGCCAAGAAATAAAAATTCTGCCTTCTGGGCAACAACAGTAAATGCACAGTTGGAAAAAGGGGAAGCCCGTCGTCATTCGAAAAGGAAAACTACTTTATTCGGATTATTAACCAAAAAAGGTAGCAACTCAGGATAACTCAGTGAAGCCAGTCATTATGGTTTGTTTCCACCGGGGTCCAATTTTTTTTAAGCCCTTCAACAGAACGTGACACACAACAATCGACTACTTTCAAGGTATCTGTACACTGTAACGAGGCAGGAGATATTAGGAGACTTGCCCATAGGAGACAAGAATCACAGGAAGAACTAAAAGCCATAGAGGAAATTGAAAAAAAAAATACTTCTTCTCTTATGCCAAATCTAAGGGAAAAACATCATCCAGTATTGGGCCCCTGCTTAGACAGGACGGGACATACACAGATGATATCCAAGGATAGCACAGATGATAGCCCAGTGTTCAGCGAGCCACTACCCACTTTAAGGGTCGACAATTCTAACTCCACAAGACTCTGAAGAGGCAACTAATGACATGCCCATGCACTCTGTCCCAGGCCCAGACTCATGGAACTCCGTGTTCATCAAGAATTGCAAGAAGCCCCTATCGCGTGCCTTCAGCATTTTATGGAGAGGGAGCATGGACACAGGGGTCATCCCACACGCACTAAAAGCAACAGACATAGCCCCACCCCACAAAGGTGGCAGTAAAGCAATTGCAAAGAACTACAGACCGATAGCACTAATATCCCATATAAAAATCTTTGAGAGGGTTCTAAGAAGCAAGATAGCCAGCCACCTAGATACCCATCAGTTACACAACCCAGGGCAACACAGATTTAGAGCAGGTCGCTCCTGCCTGTCCCAGCTACTGGACCACTATGACAAGGTCCTGGATGCTGTAGAGGATAAACAAAATACAGATGTAGTATACACAGACTTTGCAAAAGCTTTCGACAAGTGTGACCATGGTGTAATAGCACACAAAATGCGGGATAAAGGAATAACGGGAAAAGTTGGTAGATGGATCTACAACTTCCTGACAAATAGAACACAAAGAGTAATAGTAAACAGGGTAAAGTCCCAGGCAGCCATGGTAAAAAGCTCTGTTCCACAAGGCACAGTACTCGCTCCCATTCTATTCCTCCTCCTCCTTTCTGACATAGAGATGTAAGCCATAGCTCCGTGTCTCCTTTTGCGGATGACACCTGGATCACCATGGCAGTGACGTCCATCGAAGACACCGCGAGACTCCAAGCGGACATCAACCAAATCTTCGAATGGGCCACTCAAAACAATATGAAGCTCAACGAGGAGAAAATTTCAACTACTCAGATATGGAAAACTTGAAGAAATTAAAAATGTGTCAGGGTATACCACAAATTCTAACCATACAATAGAGCGGAAAAGTAATGTGAAGGACCTGGGAGTGATAATGTCAGAGGATCTCACCTTCAAAGATCACAACAATGTATCTACCTCATCCGCTAGGAAAATGATAGGATGGATAATGAGAACCTTCAAAACTAGGGACGCCAAGCCCATGATGATTCTCTTCAAATCGCTTGTGCTCTCTAGGCTGGAATACTGCTGTACACTAACGGCCCCCTTCAAGGCTGGCGACATTGCAGACCTGGAGAGTGTACAAAAAACTTTCACGGCACACATAAGTGCGATAAGGCACCTAAACTACTGGGAACAGTTGAAGGTCCTTGATCTGTATTCCCTCGAATGCAGGCGAGAGAGATATATGATAATATACACTTGAAAGTTCCTGGAGGGATTGGTACCAGACCTGCATACAAAAATCACTCCATATGAAAACAAGACTCGGCAGGAGATGCAACATTACCCCGATGAAAAGCAGGGGCGCCATGAGAGACAACACAATAAGTGTCCGGGACCCAAGACTGTTCAATTGCCTCCCAGCATACATAAGGGGATTACCAATAGACCCCTGGCTGTCTTCAAGAAGGCACTGGACGGACACCTAAAGTCAGTATCTGACCAACCGGGCTGTGGTTCGTACGTCAGCTTGCGTGCGGCCAGCAGTAACAGCCTGGTTGATCAGACCCTGATACACCATGAGGCCTGGTCTCAGACCGGGCCGCGGGGGCATTGACCCCCGAAACCCTCTCCAGGTAAACGCACCGTCTCGTGTGAGGGTTAGACCCCACTGCCCCTTGTAGTTGCGGCTTTAAGTGCACATTAACAGAATCTATTTTAGGCTAACCCAGTAAATCAGCTCATAGACAGACTTTAATATTCTGACATCACATTGAGTAACAGGGTCGAAAAATGCTGCCCAGTCTTCACTTCATATTTCAATTATATCTCAAAGTATGTTTCTTCAATCTAACTTACATAGATATTGCTGCCATCATATTTATACAGACATAACATGTTAGTGTAGCTGCCAGGTTCATAGAAACACCACCATGATAGTGTTGCAGCCACCATATTAATATAGATACCATCATGATAATGGTGTAGGCACCATATCGACACAAACAACGCCATGATATTGTAGCTAGCCAGTAGCCCGACACGGTGGCAGGTGATATAACGATATATGGGCATTAAAGCCATCAACCGGACAAAGTCATTTGGGACACATTATTATAATAAAAAAGAAGCGCTAAGCCACAAGGGCTATACAGCGCTGCGTTTTTAGTACAGTAGTTCCTGATACAGTTAAAATTTCAAGAAAATTGTGTATACACAACGAGAAGTATACTTCTTTGTGTAAAAGCATATCCTACTTCACCCTCTTGGGGGGGGGACCTTGAGTCTGGCACAGAGCTCTTAATCCAAGGAGTTGGAGCTACCCTCCCCTTCGGATCAATCCCGATTACCTCATTCTCCAGTCGCTATGACCCTTACGGTTTTAATGCGTCCTCGTGAACTTGATAAAAGTACACACCTTATTGTAAACACAATAATATACTACAGCCAAGCTGGGGATATTGCCAGGAGCGAGACAACATCATGCACTTCATTAATATCCGCACTTAGCAGAGAAAACTCATCACGTTCGGTCCGTTCTGGACCACTGACAATTTCAGTTGCGGCTTCACAAATGGTCCGGTTGGACCGAATTTTATTTGTGAATTGTTGCAGCCACGGTACTGCAACTTTTATTATCCACCGTCAAATATTACTATTATAAATAAACGCTAAACCCATAAGGGTCCACCGTCATGCAGTTTTTACCCATTTGCTTTTCTAACCATTTTTGCACTTTATTAAGTGTAAGAGAACTGAAAAGTGTAGTAATATTATATAATCACCTCCTGGGAGGTTCCTTGATGCTGGTGAAGGGCTCTCTGCTTAAGGAATTGAAGCAGCCCTCACCTTCCTTGGATCGAACCTGAATGCCTCCCATTCCCCCCCCCCAGGTCCCTTTATGACCCCTACGGGTTTAGTGCTGCCCCATAAATGTAAAAATAATTGTATAGAGTAAGCAGGTTGTCTTGTACAATATTTTTAATAACTTGTCTCTCACACTTATTATAATAAGATTAACTCTTGAGATTTATTTGTCTTTATTGTCAGCTTTGTAATTACAGCTTGAGCAGCACGCCAGTTTTTACATTTTTTTTTATCTAGAATTTATTATTCTTTATTTTACACTTGAAGGTAAACACTGTATATGGCTACATTTATGATAAACTTTATTGACCGGTTTGTACAACACACAATATAATCAATAAAGTACTCCATAAAATGTAATAGATAATATAAAACTCTTGGTGTGATGCCACCCACCAGAAGCACAGGTCAACAGAAGAATATACAAAATATCTACACAACCTTCACTACTTACAGTATGCTACAGTAACTGTAGCTCTATGAAAACATTCTTGGTGTGGCTTATGGAAAGTGTGGCATTAACTAGTATTCTTTACCTTTTTGACTACTTGTTTTGAAGGACAAACTAATGCTATATCTAATGCTACATGAAACTCCATGCTTTTTTTTAATGGCTTAGATACTTACATAATGTTTTTATAATTTTCTCATGTAACAGTCAATCTAAAGTTAGTTCTTATCTATCTATAAGTAAAGCCAAGATATTTATGGGAAAACTTGTTTTTCTCTGTCTAGGAAAGGGTAAATCTAGTAAATCTTGTACACTATACAGTATAATTAAATTACATTTGACAAAAATCCACGGTATTAATTGGTCGTGTCAGTACCATGACATAAATTTAGTGATGTTGACTCCTGCCTGTGTCTGATATGACTGAGCTGTGGATATTGTTTCTCACATATTTTGAGTTTTACCTAAACAAAGTACAGTAAGTCTTCCAAAATTATGCTGTACCTGAAAGACTATTCAGAATCTCAGAATGTTCCTGCGAGTAACATGTACTCAGTGTCAGAGGTTTAACTGAGAAGTGTTCATCAACAAAAGAAATCTGAGAAAGGTTTTTGATTTTAATTAAACCATGTGTAATGTGTCTTGTGTGAACTGCTGGTAAACCTAACTGAGTACTGAAGTCCTTAACTATGAACCATAGTGTTTGTTTACCACCTTCTGTGTCTTAAGTTGTTGAAAGTGTGAACCAGGTCACCAGTGTCATACAAGGTATTCAGGAACACCTGACATATGCTACATTTTCTTATCATATTTGTCTAGTACGATTAATATAGGAGTGTAAAAAGAGCATGACGTAACGCACTTTGCATGGTATTTTTCTGACATTTGTGGCGTACCACTGAGAATGTTGGATATAAGAGTAGTTTTAAACACTGACCCATATACATAATGTAAAATTGAATCTCTATCTGAAAAACTCCGAATTATAATCCTTTGAATAACATTCTTCTGCGTATTATTCTTTTAGCATATGGCGGAGTGATAAATTTTACCCTTACACTGATGACTGGTGAGCATCACAATGTTGAGGTTCTATGTTGGTTTATCTAAAATACATACTGTAAATGTATGTTGAGGTGCCACTTTATACTGCATCCTTTGGCACACCCACAGCAATTCAGCAATACAGTGGTGTCACCAATACAGAGGAGTGCAACACTAGATACTTAGGTAGTTACTTGTACACTGATGTATGGTACGAGATAAAGAGTTTGTTTAACAGTACAGTACATTGCAACTAGAGGTACTGGTGTCTATCAATACACTATAATAGATATAGAGTATAATGGAGGAGAAGATGCACTGATGTAATTATCACAATAATATATCACCAGCTACGATGGTGTTACTATTGTTGGTAGTGGAATGCAACATTAGACACAGTAATTACCCACAGTAGAGTAATGCATTGTTGAAAACACTGGTGACTAATCCAGTATACACCACTATAGATACATTCATGCCACCAGTAGATCATAATGCAGTATCTGAAACTGTACTACAGGTGTTAACAATATAGTTTATGACAGTACGAAGTATATTGGCATTACCAGTGCAGGGTAATATGGCACTACGTATACTGGTGTCATCAGCACTATGTAGCACAACACTAGATGAACTGGGTGTTATCAAGACAGTATACTGTAGCACTAGTTACAACACTGCTACCGGAGCTGAATCGTGTGTACTATTTGGCCCAATTAAAAATTTTTAAATATTCAATATGAACCAAGTTTGACCAATTCTTAAAAATTAACAGTGTGCAGGTTCACCACACTTCAAAAGAAATAAGATCTTTACTTTGTTAAGCAATGGACAATGTGTTCCTGGTCATATAATAGAAACAAGAAGTAAAGTGTTAAATTATTTTTGCTATAAATAGTCAACAATACTATATGAGATTTTAGCTACATGATGATACGCAAACTGAGATGCCAAGGAAGGCACTGAAAACTATACTCAGTAAGAGAATCAACATTGGTTGTGGTAAGCGTCATCAGAACAAATTGTAGATGCCAAACACAACTGTCACTGATATCTCAAAAGATTGCGTGCAGCACTGGCACCAATTATCCTAATTCTACAGGAATTTGTGTAGAACATAAGGGAATATGAGCAGCGGCAGAAAGAGATAGGTAGTCCCGGCTCCAGAATGGTTGCACAAGATGGCGTTGCAGAAACACACATCATCTGTGGGTACAATTGCTGGGGCCTTCTGGCAGGTGTCTTGGTATGTCTTGTCTGCACAGCCACGCTTGGAGTCTCGCTCCCCTACTGTGGAAGATACGTCGAGTTAGTAAGCAACTTAATATGTAACTGACCGGAAAGACTACAGAGCTGAAGAAGCTTTGGGTATGATGAAAGCGAAAACAAAAATAGATGGAATGACCATGTGAAATATTATATTTTAAAAATATATTACTTTTAAAAAATATTATTTAAAAATATATATTATTTTTAAAAAATATATTATTTTGAAAATATTATTTTTTAAAAATATTAAAAAAAACTGTAAAATTATTATTTCTACAAGTAGACCATTTAGATTGTCATAACACTGGTATACATCCTGATTACTTTGTTCTTGATATTTAACATTTAATTACAGATGTTTTACTAGTAGAATTACAGACACTGAAAAACAAGTCAAGTTATAAGTAAACACAGCTGCAGAAGACAATTTGAATTATCATTATACTTCATGTGAACCGCTACACCCATGGATCATTAACGGCAAGTACCAATGGAGGATCGATTCTACGTCATCTCATCACGACACTTAACAGTAATCGCCTACTAGCCATTGGAAAAGTTGCAGTAATTTATGGCTATACACAGTTTGAAAAAATCGAGTTAAATGAAACATTTTGGTGAGGAGAGAGATTCTTGAGGGGGTACCCTAGTGCTGGTGAAGAGCTCTTGATCGAAGGAAATGGAGCTACCTTTCCCTTCCCTGGATCAAACTTTCCATTCTCCAGGCACTGTGTTAGACCCTACGAATTTAGCACTTCCCAAGGAATATAACGATGAATGAAGAGAGAAATGAGACTCACAGATGCTGGCGCCGACAGTGTAGCAGGAGGTGCTGGGGCAGAAGACCCAGCCGATGGCCTCTGTAGATGGGATGTGGCTGTAGCAGAACCATCCCATGACTGTTGGAAGGGAGTAAACATTAATCATCCTATGAGTGATGGAAGGGAGTAAACATAAATCATCCCATGGCTGTTGGGAGTAAACATAAATCATCCCATGGCTGTTGGGAGTAAACATAAATCATCCCATGACTGTTGGGAGTAAACATTAAGCATCCTATGACTGACGGAATGGAGTAAACATAAATCATCCCATGATTGTTGGAAGGGAGTAAACATAAATCATCCCATGATTGTTGGAAGGGAGTAAACATAAATCATCCCATGGCTGTTGGGAGTAAACATAAATCATCCCATGGCTGTTGGGAGTAAACATAAATCATCCCATGACTGCTGGGAGTAAACATTGATCATCCTATGACTGACGGAAGGGAGTAAACATAAATCATCCCATGACTGTTGGAAGGGAGTAAACATAAATCACCCCATGACTATTGGAAGGGAGTAAACATAAATTACCCCATGACTATTGGAAGGGAGTAAACATAAATCATCCCATGACTGCTGGGAGTAAACATAAATCATCCTATGACTGTTGGAAGGGAGTAAACATAAATCATCTCACTGTGTATGAGCCCCATCCTGTGTGATGGAATGTGACAGGGAAACATAGTTAACTTTGTTCCCAATGTGTAACTATCATATAGAACAGGGTAGGAGCACAATGCTGATATATGCATTTTTTGTTTAATAATAAAGAACTTGCTGAGGTCAGCAGTTGGCGATTTGCTGCTGACCGGGAAGAACCTGAGTTATTGTTCTCTCCATTACCATAAGTTTGCTATGTTTACATTTGCCCAGATGGAATACAGACCACGAGTTTGCCTTTAACCACTATGAGGAAGTATGTTTTAACCATATAGGGTATACGCTATGAGGTAGTATGTTGTTGACACTTTATGGCATGTTTAGACATGGAACATCACAGCTCTAAGCCACGGCGGGGAGGGAGTAATTCATGGGCTGAACACAGGTTGTGTTCACCTGTGCTTTTCTTTCATATATAGAAGGAAGTATAAGATACCCAGGACGGAGGGAAAGAGACACGAGAGACAGAGGAAGGACAGAGGGCGGAAGAAGAGAGGCCGAGATTGAGAAAGGAATTTTTTCTCTACATTTAGCAAAATTGGATATATCAGCAATGTACTGGCTGCTGGGGAGGGAGGGAAGGAAGGATCAGAATGAAAAGGGAAAGAGAGGAATGGAGAGTGGAAGAGAAAAATGGCTGACGGATAGAATGAAGTTGGGAATGAAGAATGAAGGGAGTTTAGGTATGACTGGAGGGATGGTAAGGGATGACTGATGGGAGTGTAAGGGATGACTGAAGGGAGTGTAAGGTATGACTGAAGGGAATGTGAGGGACGACTGAAGGGAGTGTGAGGGATGACTGAGGGGAGTGTGAGGGATGACTGAAGGGAGTGTGAGGGATGACTGAAGGGAGTGTGAGAGATGACTGAGGGGAGTGTGAGGGATGACTGAAGGGTGTGAGGGATGACTGAGGGGAGTGTGAGGGATGACTGAAGGGAGTGTGAGGGATGACTGAGGGGAGTGTGAGGGATGACTGAAGGGAGTGTGAGGGATGACTGAAGGGAGTGTGAGGGATGACTGAATGGAGTGTGAGGGATGACTGAGGGGAGTGTGAGGGATGACTGAAGGGAGTGTGAGGGATGACTGAGGGGAGTGTGAGGGATGACTGAAGGGAGTGTGAGGGATGACTGAGGGGAGTGTGAGGGATGACTGAAGGGAGTGTGAGGGATGACTGAAGGGAGTGTGAGGGATGACTGAAAAGAGTGTAAGGGATATGTTTAAAAGACAATATTCAAAATAAAGTTGCTAGTAATGGCAAATCAATTGATCAACAAACAAAGAGAGATAGTAGAGGGCAACGAGTGACTAGCTCCCTTAAGGTTTACTATACAAATAGTAGGAGTCTAAGAAATAAGATAGATGAGCTAAGATTACTTGCAAGTGTAGGTAATATAGATATTATTGTTATAACAGAGACCTGGTTCAACCTGAAAGATAGAGAAATGCCTTCTGAATGCAACATACATGGTTATAAACTATTCCACACTGATAGGGTCAACAGGAAGTGTGGTGGAGTGGCGATGTATGTCAGAGAAAATTTAAATTGTTGTCTTAGACATGATATAAAATTAGAAATATCGAACACAGAATCTGTTTGGCTACAGTTTCTCGAGGGACGTGACAAATTAATTTTGGGTGTGATTTATAGGCCCCCAAACCTTGATAGGGAGTGCAGTAAGCTGTTATGGGACGAAATTCATAAGGCATCTAGTTATGAAAATGTTGTGATAATGGGAGATTTTAACTTTAAACAAATTGATTGGAACAATATGACAGGAAATCTTGAGTCTAATGACTTTTTTGATACGGTTCAGGATTGCTTTTTAGAACAGGTTGTGACAGAACCAACTAAAGGAAACAATCTGCTTGACTTGGTTCTTGTCAACAAAGATTCACTAATTAATAATCTTGAGGTTAATGATGAGCTTGGGGAAAGTGGTCACAAATCACTTAGTTTCAATATATCATGGAATTACCCAGATAACTGCAATCAAATCTCTGTCCCAGATTTTCGCTTGGCAGACTTCATGGGACTGAAAAATTACCTGGGTAAGCTAAATTGGGATGTCCTCACTATGGATCAGGTAGGTGATCTTGGTTGCCAATATGACGTTTTTCAGAGCATAGTTCTAGCTGCCCAGACACCTTTTGTTCCGAGTAGAGAAATTAGATCTAACAAAAATGATCCCAAATGGATGAACAATATATTAAAACATCTCATTGGTCAAAAGAGAGGCATATATAGGCGTATCAAAAGAGGGGATGGGCAGTTAAGAAATCAATATATTCAATTAGAGAGAGAAATAAAGAAAGGAATACGAAAAGCAAAAAGGGATTACTAGGCTAAGGTCGCAAGGGATTCAAAGACTAACCCAAAAGGGTTCTTTCAGGTATACAGAAGTAAGATTAGGGACAAGATTGGCCCACTTAAGAGTAACTGGTCAGATCACTGGCAGTGATAAGGATATGTGTGAAATTCTAAATACCTACTTCCTCTCAGTTTTCATCCAGGAAAATACTAGTGATATTCCTGAAATAACAGATTACGTAGAACAGGACGATAATAAACTATGTACGATTGCGGTAACTAGTGACATGGTCCTCAGATAAATAGAGAAACTAAAACCTAACAAATCCCCAGGCCCTGATGAACTGTTTGCAAGGGTGTTAAAGGAATGTAAAGAGGAACTTAGCATACCTTTGGCTAATCATTTTAACATATCACTACAAACTGGCATAGTGCCTGATAAGTGGAAAATGGCAAATGTAATACCTATTTACAAGGCAGGTGACAGGTCCTTGGCTTCGAACTATAGACCAATAAGCCTTACCTCCATAGTGAGAAAATTTATGGAATCAATAATTGCCGAAGCAATACGTAGTCATCTTGACAGGCACAGATTGATTAATGATTCTCAACACGGTTTTACAAAGGGGCGTTCCTGTCTTACGAATTTACTAACTTTTTTCACTAAGGTATTTGAGGAGGTGGATCATGGTAATGAATATGATATTGTGTATATGGACTTCAGTAAGGCTTTCGATAGAGTTGAGGAAATTTAGGGCACACGGAATAGGAGAAATTTTTTCCTGGGTAGAGGCATGGCTGACAAATAGACAGCAGAGAGTTTGCATAAATGGGGTGAAATCAGAATGGGGGCATGTCACAAGCGGTGCTCCTCAGGGGTCAGTGTTGGGCCGTTCTTATTACCATGATCTACCTCCTCAAACACCTTAGTGAAAAAAGTTAGTAAATTCGTAAGACAGGAACGCCCCTTTGTAAAACCGTGTTGAGATTCATTAATCAATCTGTGCCTGTCAAGATGGCTACGAATTGCTTCGGCAATTATTGATTCCATAAATTTTCTCACTATGGAGGTAAGGCTTATTGGTCTATAGTTCGAAGCCAAGGACCTGTCACCTGCCTTGTAAATAGGTATTACATTTGCCATTTTCCACTTATCAGGCACTATGCCAGTTTGTAGTGATATGTTAAAATGATTAGCCAAAGGTATGCTAAGTTCCTCTTTACATTCCTTTAACACCCTTGCAAACAGTTCATCAGGGCCTGGGGATTTGTTAGGTTTTAGTTTCTCTATTTGTATGAGGACCATGTCACTAGTTACCGCAATCGTACATAGTTTATTATCATCCTGTTCTACGTAATCTATTATTTCAGGAATATCGCTAGTATTTTCCTGGGTGAAAAATGAGAGGAAGTAGGTATTTAGAATTTCACACATATCCTTATCACTGTCAGTGATCTGACCAGGGTTACTCTTAAGTGGGCCAATCTTTTCCCTAATCTTACTTCTGTATACCTGAAAGAACCCTTTTGGGTTAGTCTTTGTGTATATGGATTTCAGTAAGACTTTCGATAGAGCTCCACACCAGAGGTTATTGAGGAAACTTAAGGCACACGGAGTAGGAGGAGAAATTTTTTCCTGGGTAGAGGCATGGCTGACAAATAGGCAGCAGAGAGTTTCCATAAATGGGGAAAAATCAGAATGGGGGCACGTCAAAAGCGGTGTTCCTCAGGGGTCAGTGTTCAATTCAATTACTTTCAATTCAATTCAAGTTTATTCTCTATAAGGGTTACAATGTGGGGTTTACAGGTTTTGGGTATTGTGTGGTTTACATGTTATAAAATACTAACTACAGAGGGGGCCACTAGGACAACTAGCATGACTAGGCATTTCGGGCAGACTTAGATTAGTGTTGGGCCCGTTGTTGTTCACAATTTACATAAACGACATAGATGAGGGAATAAATAGCGACATAAGCAAATTTGCTGATGACACCAAAATAGGCCGTCCAATTCATTCTAATGAGGACACTAGAGCACTCCAGGATGATTTGAATAGACTGATGCAATGGTCGGAGAAGTGGCAGATGCAGTTTAATATTGACAGATGCAAAGTTCTAAATGTTGGACAGTTAAATAACCATGCCACATATAAACTAAATAATGTAGATCTTAATACTACTGATTGCGAAAAGGATTTAGGAGTTCAGGTTAGCGGTAATCTAAAACCAAGACAACAGTGCATTAGTGTTCGCAATAAAGCTAACAGAATTCTTGGCTTCATATCTAGAAGTATAAATAATAGAAGTTCTCAGGTTGTTCTTCAACTCTATACATCCTTGGTTAGGCCTCATTTAGATTATGCTGCTCAGTTCTGGTCACCGTATTACAGAATGGATATAAATGCTCTGGAAAACGTACAGAGGAGGATGACAAAGATGATCCTATGTATCAGAAATCTTCCCTATGAGGATAGACTGAGGCCCTGAATCTGCACTCTCGAAAGGCGTAGAATTAGGGGGGATATGATCGAGGTGTATAAATGGAAAACAGGAATAAATAAAGGGGATGTAAATAGCGTGCTGAAAATTTCCAGCCAAGACAGGACTCACAGCAATGGTTTCAAGTTGGAAAAGTTCAGATTCAGGAAGGATATAGGAAAGCACTGGTTTGGTAATAGAGTCGTGGATGAGTGGAACAAACTCCCGAGTACAGTTATTCAGGCTAAAACGTTGTGTAGTTTTAAAAATAGGTTAGATAAATACATGAGTGGGTGTGGGTGGGTGTGAGTTGGACCTGACTAGCTTGTGCTGCTGGGTCTAGTGCCGTGCTCCATCCTTGAGTGGAGGTGACCAGACTGGGTGGGTCATTGGGCTAATCCGGGGGGGAGACATGGACCTGCTCCGCATGGGTCAGTAGGCCTGTTGCAGTGTTCCTTCTTTCTTATGTTCTTATAACTGAAGGGAGTGTGAGAGAATTGAAGATAGGGGGAGGGGGGGGTTAAGTGGAAGAAATATCGTAATGGGTTGCCACCAGCATCCAAGCTTAACCAAATTCACTACTTCAACAATGTGCTGCCACTCTATTCTAAATAAGAGTTACGCTATAGGAACAAAAGCTAGCTAAGTTTTCCCTGTCATACTCAGTCACACAGGATGGTTTCCCTGGCATATGCCATCACACAGAATGGTTTCCCCTGTCACACTCCATCGCATAGGATGGGTTTCATACCAGAGTTAATGAAATTTGTCAGGAAGAGCTGAAAGACTTCAGTGAAGCGATGTCTTTTAGAATGGTCTATCCTACACACAAGAAATGAAATTTATAAAGATATCATCACAGAGCAGAAGAAATATATACGCGTATATGCAATGCTGTTCCTATTTGTTTTATATAACACTTAGAGGCATTTTTTGGAAATAATTTCTTGTTACTGTTGTTGTTGGTTATTATTATTGTTATTATTATTATTGTTGTTGTTACTATTATTGTTATAACATCCAGGATGGAGGTAGAGACATAATAGGAGGGTGAAGAAAGGGAGAGAGGAGAGGGAAAGGAGGGGAGACTGGGAGTGATGGTGGAAAGGAGAGTGATGAGGGAGTGAACACTCACCTCCATGGAGGGTCATCACCAGCATCAACACACACAGGATGGACTTGGTGCTGCTCCTGTCGGCAGGAGAAAAAACGATGGTGTCAACTATGTTACCTCGCTAAGAAATACATATAGAGAAAGGGGGACCAACCCCAACTTCATCAGCCTTAAAACTGAGCTTTAGTTTCTCAAACAACGATTCTTTCCATGTTAAGACTCATAATAATGACACATGTCAGGACTCATAATAATGACACATGTCAGGACTCATAATTATGACACATGTCAGGACTCATAATTATGACACATGTCAGGACTCATAATTATGACACGTCAGGACTCATAATAATGGCACATGTTAAGTTTCATAATTATGACACATGTCAGGACTCATAATTATGACACATGTTAGGACTCATAATTATGACACATGTTAGGACTCATAATTATGACACATGTTAGGACTCATAATTATGACACATGTCAGGACCCTTAATTATGACACGTCAGGACTCATAATTATGACACATGTCAGGACCCTTAATTATGACACGTAAGGACTCATAATTATGACACATGTCAGGACTCATAATTATGACACATGTCAGGACTCAATTATGACACATGTCAGGACTCATAATTATGACACATGTTAAGAATCGTATGACACATGGCAAAAATCATAATTATTACACATATGAGTTATGCAAAAATTCATCAGCATGATAGGTCTTACCTCTAAAATAAAAATATAAATAAAAATCCATGGTCAACTCTTGGGCACAGTCTTGGCATATTTTATTCAGAAAAAATTTACAAACTGCCGAAGCGTTAATAAAAAAATATAAACTTAGGTGGGTCATTTAGTGGTTTATATAGATAATGGTAAGCAGTACTAATGGGTAAATCAGCGCTGAATAATCCGTGTGGATTTAACCCTTTATCAATAATATTAATGGGTTTAATATATGAGTGAAATGTGTGACTGGTCTCTATGTGACGCTGAGTGAATCACATAATATGTGCTTAACCTTAAATGCTGCAGCAACATATATCACCTGGAAATGGAAATCTGTGTGAGTTATGGTAATGGGAGTGAAATAAATTAACCAGGTATTAAATGTTTACATTATGTATTCACTTTCATTAATGGACAAAATTTAATAAAAACAAAAACTCAACTAATTTGTATTATTTTCTGATCTGCTGAGTCAGTCTCATTACGAAAAAATATCAAGTCTTTTTAAAAATATTTGCAATAAAATGCACTTCCTAAACTCCACTTTACAAGGCAGTTGACCCCGAGTCTCAATATTTCATTTTAATAAGTGTACAAGAAACCAGAGGTAAAGTGGGATATATGCTAATTCTTAAATTTTACAATAATGAGGTCTTGTTATCTTGGTTAGTTTATTGAATTTGTAGCCTGTCTACTACATAATGGCCATTTAAATTGCACGTCACATGTTGACAACCCGAAAAGGATACATTAATCACGAAAATAAGCATTAAACTATCAGCGTATATGCAAGTATATCAGAATTCTTCTTCCGTAAGCCGTGTGTGTCTTAAGAGGCGACTAAAATGCTGGGAGTAAGGGGCTAGTAACCCCTTCTCCTGTGTAAATTAGTAAATATAACAAGAAAAACTTTCGTTTTTCTTTTTTGGGGGGGTAACCCTGGCTCGGTAGGATACGACGGGTGTTAAAAAAAATGCAAGTATATGAATGGGTTTAAGTTAAACGTGCCTAGCTTGGGCCAGTAGACCTGCTACGATGCTCCTTCCTTAAGATGAATCTTGGACCTGCCTGGCATGGGTCAGCAGGCCTGCTTTCTTATGTTCTTATGTACTGACATATATACACCTCTCGCAGTATATATTCTTGTTATGTAGATGACAGCTAGGATGCATTAAAAATATTACAGAAAAAAGGAAAGTTTCTCATTCATAAGCCTAGCCAAAACCTCTCACAAAATTAGGTAAACAAAAAAAAATAACTTGTTTTACAATATCAGTGTTATTTTACAGGTTTGTAGTTACGTTTAATTACAAAAAAAGTATCATTTGATACAGCACGGTGTGCAGATACCATTTACAAAACAGTGGAATCTGATCAGCAGGTCTAGAATGTTCTTATATATTGGCATTTTGCCAGGAACTGGCTTCCAGCACAGCTACACCTTTCCAACACATTTACAAACTTTTTTCTTGACTGTGACCCACAATAGTCTGCTAATAGACAGGAACCTACTAGGTGAGCATGGTTAGTAAGGGACACATGTACACGTGCTGCAAGGTGAGCGGGGACAGTAAGGGACACATGTACACGTGCTGCTAGGTGAGCGGGGACAGTAAGGGACACATGTACACGTGCTGCTAGGTGAGCGGGGACAGTAAGGGACAAATGTACACGTGCTGCTAGGTGAGCGGGGACAGTAAGGGACACATGTACACGTGCTGCTAGGTGAGCGGGGACAGTAAGGGACACATGTACACGTGCTGCTAGGTGAGCGGGGACAGTAAGGGACACATGTACACGTGCTGCTAGGTGAGCGGGGACAGTAAGGGACAAATGTACACGTGCTGCTAGGTGAGGGGACAGTAAGGGACACATGTACACGTGCTGCTAGGTGAGCGGGGACAGTAAGGGACACATGTACACGTGCTGCTAGGTGAGCGGGGACAGTAAGGGACACATGTACACGTGCTGCTAGGTGAGCGGGGACAGTAAGGGACACATGTACACGTGCTGCTAGGTGAGCGGGGACAGTAAGGGACACATGTACACGTGCTGCTAGGTGAGCGGGGACAGTAAGGGACACATGTACACGTGCTGCTAGGTGAGCGGGGACAGTAAGGGACACATGTACACGTGCTGCAAGGTGAGCGGGGACAGTAAGGGACACATGTACACGTGCTGCTAGGTGAGCGGGGACAGTAAGGGACACATGTACACGTGCTGCTAGGTGAGCGGGGACAGTAAGGGACAAATGTACACGTGCTGCTAGGTGAGCGGGGACAGTAAGGGACACATGTACACGTGCTGCTAGGTGAGCGGGGACAGTAAGGGACACATGTACACGTGCTGCTAGGTGAGCGGGGACAGTAAGGGACATGTACACGTGCTGCTAGGTGAGCGGGGACAGTAAGGGACACATGTACACGTGCTGCTAGGTGAGCGGGGACAGTAAGGGACACATGTACACGTGCTGCTAGGTGAGCGGGGACAGTAAGGGACACATGTACACGTGCTGCTAGGTGAGCAGTACAAGTCTGCACTTGTCAACTACCTGAGGGTCGAACCTGGGACATTTTAAGTATCAACTGAATGGCCTCGTTACTCTATTCGAAACCACACTAAATTTTTATATAGTTTGATTTTTCTTATGAGAATTATACAAACAATCATATTTTTTTAATTGTTTGGAATCTATAACAGAGCACATTTGCCAATATAAATATACACATCGCTAATAACGTTTGGCTTATGTGAATAAAATAATAATAATAATAATAATAATAATATAATAATAATAATAATAATAATAATAATAATATCATTACAGTTGTTACATAGTAAGGATGGTGCCGAGTAAGCGGCTTGTGGATCAAATACATTTAGTGTCATATATGGGTGATGATACGGTGCCTGTTATACAGTAAACTCTCTTTTATAGAACTCCTCTGTATAGTGCGATTTTTTGTAAATGCGACTGAAAAAGTACATTTAAAATTGAATTACAAGTGAGAAGGTCTTCATGATAAATATTTTTGATCGATTTTACAAACAAGAGGAGCTTTATGCACACACACACACACACACACACACACACACACACACACACACATACACACACACACACACACACACACACACACACACACCACACACACACACACACACACACACACACACACACACTACGAGAAGAGGTTAAGGGAAATCGACCTGACGACACTGGAGGACAGGAGAGATAGGGGGGACATGAAAACGACTTACAAAATACTGAGAGGAATTGACAAGGTGGACAAAGACAGGATGTTCCAGAGACTGGACGCAGCAACACGGGGACACAGTTGGAAGCTGAAGCCACAGATGAATCACAGGGATGTTAGGAAGTATTTCTTCAGCCACAGAGTAGTCAGGAAGTGGAATAGTTTGGGAAGCGATGTAGTGGAGGCAGGATCCATACATAGCTTTAAGCAGAGGTACGATAAAGCTCATGGTTCAGGGAGAGTGACCTAGTAGCGACCAGTGAAGAGGCGGGGCCAGGAGCTTGGACTCGACCCCTGCAACCTCAACTAGGTGAGTACACACACACACACACACACACACACACACACACACACACACACACACACACACAAACACACACACACACACACACACACACGTACCAACAAAGAGAACATTTTACACCTTCAGCAACAATGGCTACGATATCAAGTAAATTTTATTTAGGCTTTTGGTACATAACATAAAATTTTTTACAATGGTCTTGAGAGCACGCAGTTGTTATGGGTACAAAAAAGTACATTATGTAGATTTAACCTAGATAACGCAATACAGTATTACAAGGTGTGGGGTAATAGTCACTGCTACATCTGGCAAGTAATACAATTTATTATATTTTGACAAGTATTTTTAACCCAACTGTGCCAATTTAACTAAAAAAAAACATCTAAGGTTATGGATCAACGATTCCCTTGCCAAAAGTCGATTATGTTAATACGGTTCGTTTAAAATGCCGTGACCTGTGGCATGACTCAGTCCTTGCTATGGGTATTCAAGAGAGGATATTTCATAGCCGGTGAAGGTCTCTTCATCCAAGGAATTAGAGCTACCCTCCTTTTTCTTGGATCAAACCTCATTACCTCACATTCTCGTGGCGTTGTTTGACAACTACGTGTTGAGTGCTTCCCCGTCATGTACAGCGATAAGAGTGAATATCAAGGAGGATGTTGATGTAGTTAAGGAGAGTGTGTCCACTCGAGTGTGTGAGTGTTCACAGTCTTTCTGGCAAGGTAGATATACTGACAGTTGAGTGGTGTAGGGAGGCTGGTAGGGTGGTTTGTAGGGTGGCTGGTAGAGTGGTTAGTAGGGTGGTTGGTAGGGGGGTTGGTAGGATTGTTGATAGGGTGGCTGGTAGGGTAGCTGATAGGGTGGCTGATAAGGCTGCTGATAGGGTGGCTGACAGGGTTGTTGATAGGGTAGCTGGTAGGGTTGTTGATAGGATGGCTGGTAGGGTTGCTGATAGGGTTGCTGATAGGATGGCTGGTAAGGTTGCTGACAGGGTTGCTGGTAGGGTTGCTGATAGGGTGCTGGATAACGTTGCTGATAGGTGGCTGGTAGGTTGCTGATAGAGTGCTGGTAGGGTTGCTGATAGGGTGGCTGGTAGGTTGCTGATAGGGTGGCTGGTAGGATTGCTGATAGGATGGCTGGTAGGGTTGTTGATAGGGTGGCTGGTAGGGTTGCTGATAGGGTGGCAGGTAGGGTTGTTGATAGGGTGGCTGGTAGGGTTGCTGATAGGGTGGCTGGTAGGGTTGTTGATAGGGTGGCTGGTAGGGTTGTTGATAGGGTGGCTGGAAGGGTTGCTGATAGGGTGGCTGGTAGGGTGGCTGATAGGGTGGTTGGTAGGGTTGCTGATAGGGTGGCTGGTAGGGTTGCTGATAGGGTGGCTGGTAGGGTTGCTGATCGGGTGGCTGGTAGGGTTGTTGATAGGGTGGCTGGTAGGGTGGCTGGTAGGGTGGCTGGTAGGGTTGCTGATAGGGTTGCTGATAGGGTGGCTGATAGGGTGGCTGGTAGGGTGGCTGGTAGGGTTGCTGGTAGGGTTGCTGATAGGGTTGCTGATAGGGTGGCTGGTAGGGTGAGACAAAGCAAGTGTGAGGTTGGGCTAGCATCCAGGTCGAGTGGTAAGAAGTTCAGCTTTAACATAAAACGCGGTGATACCAGCCTCCTCTGTCTGTGTTATTCACACACACACACACACACACACACACACACACACACACACACACACACACACACACACACAAGATTTTGGGGTGAGCATAACACCGAGCACGTCTCCGGAAGCACACATCAACCAGATAACTACTGCAGCATATGGGCGCCTGGCAAACCTGAGAACAGCGTTCCCATACCTTAGTAAGGAATGGTTCAAGACACTGTACATTGTGTACGTCAGACCCATACTGGAGTATGCAGCACCAGTTTGGAACCCACACCTGGTCAAGCACATCAGGAACTTAGATAAAGTGCAAAGGTTTGCAACAAGGTTAGTTCTGGAGCTCAGGGGAATGTCCTACGAAGAAAGGTTGAGGGAAATCGGCCTGACGACACTGGATGACAGGAGGGTCAGGGAAGACATGATAGCGACATACAAAATACTACGTGGAACAGATAAGGTGGACAGAGACAGGATGTTCCAGAGAGAGGACACAGAAACAAGGGGTCACAATTGGAAGCTGAAGACTCAGACGAGTCACAGGGATGTTAGGAAGTATTTCTTCAGTCATAGAGTTGTCAGGAAGTGGAATAGTTTAGTAAGTGATGTAGTGGAGGCAGGAACCATACATAGCTTTAAGACGAGGTATGACAAAGCTCAGGGAGCAGAGAGAGAGAGGACCTAGTAGCGATCAGTTAAGAGGCAGGGCCAGGAGTTGAGTCTCGACCCCTGCAACCACAATTTGGTGAGTATACACACACACACACACACACACACACACACACACACACACACACACACACACACAAGCACGTCAAGAAACTAGAGAAAGTACAAAGGTTTGCAACAAGGTTAGTTCCAGAGCTAAGGGGAATGTCCTATGAAGAAAGATTAAGGGAAATCGGCCTGACGACACTGGAGGACAGGAGGGTCAGGGGAGACATGATAACGACATATAAAATACTGCGTGGAATAGACAAGGTGGACAAGGACAGGATGTTCCAGGGAGGGGACACAGAAACAAGAGGCCACAATTGGAAGTTGAAGACACAAATGAGTCAGAGAGATAGTAGGAAGTATTTCTTCAGTCATAGAGTTGTAAGGCAGTGGAATAGCCTAGAAAATGACGTAGTGGAGGCAGGAACCATACACAGTTTTAAGACGAGGTTTGATAAAGCTCATGGAGCGGGGAGAGAGAGGGCCTAGTAGCAACCGGTGAAGAGGCGGGGCCAGGAGCTAGGACTCGACCCCTGCAACCACAAATAGGTGAGTACAAATAGGCGAGTACACACACACACACACACACGATGAAAGGTTGAGGGAAATCAGACTGATGACACTGGAGGACAGAAGGGTCAGGGGAGACATGATAACGACATACAAGATGCTGCGTGGAATAGATAAGGTGAACAGAGACAGGATGTTCCAGAGAGAGGACACAGAAACAAGGGGTCACAATTGGAAGCTGAAGACTCAGACGAGTCACAGGGATGTTAGGAAGTATATCTTTAGTCATAGGGTCGTCAGGAAGTGGAATAGCCTAGCAAGTGACGTAGTGGAGGCAGGAACCATACATAGCTTTAAGACGAGGTATGACAAAGCTCAGGGAGCAGAGAGAGGACCTAGTAGCGATCACTGAAGAGGCGGGGCCAGGAGCTGAGTCTCGACCCCTGCAACCACAATTATGTGAGTACACACACGCGCGCGCAATGAAAAAGATCTTGGGGTGAGTATAATACCGAGCATGTCTCCTGAGGCGCACATCAACCAGATAACTGTTGCAGTATATGGGCGCCTGGCAAACCTAAGAATAGCGTTTCGTTACCTCAGTAAGGAATCGTTCAAGAGACTGTACACCATGTACGCCAGGCCTATATTGGAGTATGCAGCACCAGTTTGGAATCCACACCTGGTCAAGCATGTCAAGAAATTAGAGAAAGTGCAAAGGTTTGCAACAAGGCTGGTTCCAGAGCTAAGGGGACTGTCCTACGAAGAAAGGCTGAGGGAAATCGGCTTCACGACACTGGAGGACAGGAGGGCTAGGGAGCACATGATAATGACATATAAAATACTGCGAGGAGTTTACAAGGTGGACAAAGACAGGATGTTCCAGAGATGGGACACAGAAACAAGGAGTCACAATTGGAAGCTGAAGACTCCGATGAGTCAAAGGGATGTTAGGAAGTATTTCTTCAGTCATAGACTTTTCAGGAAGTGGAATTGCCTAGAAAGTGACGTAGTGGAGCCAGGAACCATACATAGTTTTAAGACGAGGTTTGATAAAGCTCATGGAGCAGGGAGAGAGAGGACCTAGTATCGATCAGGAGCTATGATTCGACCAGGAGCTATGATTCGACCAGGAGCTATGATTCGACCAGGAGCTATGATTCGACCCCTGCAATCACAAATAGGCGAGTACAAGTAGTAGAGTATACACACACACGAAAGGGGATAAACATTTCTTTTAATATGAGAACAATGAACAACTGGAGGACCTGTGACAGACATGAGCCTAAGTGTAGAGAACATAGCCCTGAAGGTCAGAGACAAAGCCTCACTAGCTAATTGAAGTCTGAAACCGAGACTCAAGAGCAAGGGCTCAACCTCTGTAGGCGCAACTACATAATCACACATACTATTGACATGACTAGAAAAAATAATAATTACTAGAGACAAGTCCACTAGTCGATTGAAGGTAAAGATATAGGGCCAAGAACTAGAATTCGCCCCGCGTAGACCTAACTCGTTGTAAGTAAGACATGTACAATACATGGCTATCCATATTGAAGAGACTTTTTGCCGGCGTCCAGACTTTATCAGTCTAATATAAAGATATGAAGACGGTGACTGGATCCAGAGGTGAGGTGCAGCAGTTGAAAACATCGTCGCATGTGGGCAAGGTCCACTAGTGGAAGTAGGTCAGGCCCATAATTTAGGCCACAAATTTACCAATAAGGTTTCAGATATGGAGAGAGGCAGCAATTGAAGGTGTGACCTCATATGGGCAGGGCCCACTAGGAGAAATAGATTTTGCTTATTATGTGGGCTAGAGAATAGCAGTAGAGTTGTGGGATATTCTCTTTCAAAAGATTCCATGGCGTTGTTTTATCAGGCAAGCATTAATAGATCAAAAGTATACAATACTGACAAGTTGATGAGCAAGATAAATGTGCAACACCTGTGTATCTTTGCTAGAGAGAATTTTCTCCGGCGCAGCAGGCTTTATCAGTCAAACTGAGTCATGAGGATGGAGACACAATGGAGCTAGAGGGGAGGACCTCAGAGATGTGCAGCAGTTAATGCTGCACATCTCTGACTCCGGGTTAAAAATATCCATCCTCGTGTCTCTATATTAGGTTGGTAAAGCTTGCTTGTGGGCGAAATGTCTCTCTAATAAAGATATTTAAGTGTTGCCCATGAATCTCATTCATTTATCACATAGTTGCGCCTGCAGGAGTTAAACTCTAGATCTCGAGGCTCTGTCCGAGATTGACTTGAGTGAATTTTTCTGCCCTTCAAGGCTGTTTTATAATCTAAGTCTTGCAATAGCGCTCCATTTGTTCACTGCTCTTAACTTGTCAGTAAGTTATACCTTTGATCTAATGATACCAACTCGGTGAGCACGCAGTAGAAGAAGCATTAGAACTATCAGCAGCGCCAAGCGAAGAAGGGACAGAAACATCATCAGCAGCACTAACAGTAGAAGCAAAAACATTAAATGCAGTAGAAGCAATGTCAACAACAGCTTCAGCAACAATAACACCATATATAACAACAGCAGTAACACCAGAAGCAACAGCCGCATTAGTCAGTGAGGTGTCAGGGAGTGTCCGTCTGGAATCAATAATACATTACCCTGTAAAAATAGACACCATTAGATGCAGTGACTGGAAACTCCACACAGACAGTGATCTCCGGCACCTCCAGCTTTACTTAACACAACCTCCCGTGTGTTTCATCCAGGGAAAGATCAGTGTGATCATTTCATAACATCAGATGCTTTAGTAAAAACTTCATGTCTCCCTTGCAAGATGAACACAAACATCGAGTGAAAATGTTGAAAATGTTAGAATAAATAATTTTTGTAAAATAACAGACAGTATTACACCATTACCAGTGTAAAATATTAAGGGTGTGGTGTCAATTACGCCTATTATTATAGTTCCAGGAATGATCGCTCTCCGTATCTCGATCAAAGACAGTGTTTATCTTTATTAATAATTAAGGTGAAAGGATGAAAGATTTTATTATGTATATCTCTGATTGTTTAATAAAACAGGGTTGATGACAACTAGCAAATTATTACTCATAGTGGACATGTGAAGTGAATGTTCAAAACACTTATACTACCTTTGCTCGTTTCAAAATTTTGCCCTAGCAGTGGTTTACTATCCCCCAGGATGCTACTCACAACAGTCGACTAATGCCAAAGTACGTATTCATTGTAAAATTTGCATGGCCAATGGGTGTAGGGAGACTTGTCCAAATAACTAACCTTGTTTGAGGATCGAACCTTAGACTTGTCTGTAGTGAGCTGACCTTCCTTACCACTAAGCTACAAGTCGGATGATCCATTAGATTTAAAGCCTATGGACTCCACGAGGGCTATTAAGGATGCATATCACATGTGCACCGGTCAAGGATACTTTCATCCCCCCCCCAAAAAAAAAATTAATTAAGGTAAACTCTCAGCCTATTCATATATGGTAAGAGATACACATCTCTTGGTGTGGATTCCCTTATCAGCTTCTTATGAACCACAGCCTAATATTCTGGAAGCAAGGCACTCATTGCATCTTAATTAAACACCAAAACCTTAAGTTACTACCACGTTATTAATCTGCACACAGAACATAACAAGCCTTGCTAAATCTTCACCTTAATACATGTGTTTATTATGTGAATTAATACAAACTAATTTTTATCTTACTTCAAGGTCATCGTTTAAAAATTGAAAACACACGATCCAATTGGTTTTAAAATTTTCATGCAGCTACTGGCATCTGCAGGTACCCACTTATACAGACAATTTTATGTTTTGAAATCCGTGCGATATCTTAAAAAAAAAATCCTTATCGGCTTCAAATTTTCAATACTGGTGCATCCTAATTAGGAGTGTGGAGTTGTTACTGGAGTGAATAGGAGTCCATTTGCCAGGGGTCCATAACTTGAGTGTACGTTTATTTAGTGTGCAGGTACACATAAATACAGTTACACTTATTATCATACATAGTAACATATGTGTAAATTACCAAGGATAATCCCCCCAAAAAGTCAGTTATTGTGTTCCACTGGAGTCCTTGAATGTGCGTCTTTTGAGAGGCTTCCATCGTTAACGGTTGATACATCTTACAATTAAGATGATACCCTATGCAGATGTAAATTTGTTTATTTATTAACATTGTTAATAACCTTGGAATTGTTGGATTCCGAACAATAATTAAAAAAGTTTCTTTTGATGAACTTCCAATTTTTAGCGATGGTGATTCTTTGTTCAAAGGAAGGTTTGCATTATGGGCTGTATGTTTCAATTTTCCCAATTTATTAAACAAATCGGTTTGCATGCAGTAACAGGAGAATACCTCCTCTGCCTGGCTTCAAACTACAAATGCTGGTGCATCTTAAGCAGAGGAAAGTTTGGGTTGATTCTGGGCAGTTTGGGTGCCAATTTGCTGATTTTATTACAGAAATTGGGTTGGAAAGTTGTTTGGTTAATTGGGTTTATCCCGAGGGTCATTAAGGCTGAATGTAACCTCTTCACCACCAGTCGACAATATTTTAATCCCTAATGTAGGGATTAAAATAAACTCATGCTACATATAGTGGGGCTTGATCAACCAGGCTGTTACTGCTGGCCCGATCAGCCCGGCTGATCGGGCACTGACTATTTTTTGTAATACGGGAATATCTCTCTGTGACTGCGCAGTTACTGAAACACATCTAGTTTGGTTTAAAGCTTATCGACTACACGAAGGTCATTAAATCTTCATGCCATTTTTACACCACCAATCAAAGGTACTTGAATGTCCAAGAGAGAGTGAGCGTATGTGTACTCACCTATATGTGGTTGCAGGGGTCGAGTCACAGCTCGTGGTCCCTCCTCTTTATTGGTGGCTACTAGGTTCACTCTTTCCCGGTTCCAAGTGTGTACTCACCTATTTGTGGTTGCAGGGGTCGAGACATAGTTCCTTCGTGTGTGTGTGTGTGTACTCACCTAATTGTGGTTGCAGGGGTCGAGACTCAGCTCCTGTGTGTGTGTGTGTGTGTGTGTGTGTGTGTGTGTGTGTGTGTGTGTGTGTGTGTGTGTGTGTGTGTGTGTGTGTGTGTGTGTGTGTGTGTGTGTGTGTGCTCAACTATTTGTGGTTGCAGGGGTCGAGTCATAGCTCCTTGCCCCGCCTCTTCACTGATTGCTACTAGGTCCTCTCTCTCCCTGTTCCATGAGCTTTATCAAACCTCGTCTTAAAACTATGTATGGTTCCTGCCTCCACTACGTCACTTTCTAGGCTATTCCACTGCCTGACAACTCTATGACTGAAGAAATACTTCCTAACATCCCTTTGACTCATCGGAGTCTTCAACTTCCAATTGTGACCTCTTGTTTCTGTGTCCCATCTCTGGAACATCCTGTCTTTGTCCACCTTGTCTATTCCGCGCAGTATTTATGTTATCATCTCCCCTGTGTGTGTGTGTGTGTGTACCTTTGAATATTCACTGTTGGTTTCTATACACACACCTCAAGAGAGATATACACTTCAAAATAACAACAGAGATGCTTTACTTCGATATTTATATAACATTTATAAAATCGTCATGAGATAAGTTAGCGTTGGGGGCCGTGATCTAGTGAGGTGGAGAAATTTAACCCTTATGAACGTGGATTATTAAGTCCGCAATTCACTTTTACACAAGCATTAATAAAAATTTAATCCCAAAATGTGATTGAATGTAAACTTTAATGTTTATACACAAACACATACACATCAATGTGTATATCAATGGAACAGTTTACACGAGATGGTAAATGTTACCACAACCACATGAGATTTTTAAAAAATGCCATAAATTAAATACTGAAAGCGGGACACTGAGCTTCACTCTCCTCCTCCAGCTACAAATAAGTAATCAGATACACACCTGAATATACTGTCGACGTGACATAATATATAGCTTAGAGGTAGCCAATTCTTTTTACTAAATAATGACCTCTTCCACGACCTCCCTTGTAATATTTGTAAACCTCACATAATGATTTATTTCACTAAACAATAGACTTTATATTAAGTGCCCCTTACTCACCTCCTCAGAGATTTTCTAGATGGAGAGGGCAGGTGGGGAGGGCAATCAGGGCTGCAGGAAGGAGTGTAGGGATGGAGGAAGGGGTCCCAGCTGCGATGGCTCACCATAAAATATATTAAAGAATGTTGCAGCATCCCCGACACGAATATAAGTTAGCTCAGTCTGGGAGATGTCTTGAAAAAGATTACGACAAATGAAAACAAACTGATTTGTTTTTAATATGAAAAAAAAATCGTGCTTCCCACAGATGAATGATATGAAATGTCGATATAAATCTACATTTGTTGTTAATATCATGCGCTTCATGAGCAAACTGAATTTAAAGCTGAATTTATTTATTTATTTATTTATTTACAAGGAAAAGTGTTCTGTGTACATGATTTGTACTGCCGTTTCCAGGAATTTACGACGAATTTTTTTATTTGACTTTGTCAGTTAGGAAACAAATTAGACAGACAGATAGATGCTGTTGATGACCAAAACCTTAAAAGTATTTTTCCATTAATACTTGACTTATATGTCGAATTTTCTCACTGATTCCAGAACATAAAAGTAATCGAAAATGGTCTGTCTTTTATCTCATCTCCTTCCCCATTTGATGTAATGGAACCTCATTTTGCCTCCAATTCGAGCTTATTGACCAGTAATGTGATACATTGCTTTCGGAGCAAATCAGACCATTCCTGAACAGGTATAATAAAGCAAACGAAGGACTTACTGCAGGAGACTAAATATAATACACGGTGTGGTTAAGAAGTACACTGATCTAGATTAGACGTGGTGGAAGCAGCGTTAGGAAGTAGTATCATCTTGAGGTATGACAGAGCTCAAAAGGCTGAAGACCTGTAAAGTTGGTGGATAGTGAGGAAGAGGAAGGGCCAAGAACAGTGAGCTGACCCCCCTAACTCCAAATAGGAAAGCACAACTACATAAGTGCACATCTGCCAGGCAGACAACTCGGTCACCCGGCAGCTCCAGCACCTGGCATCTCACCAAAGGAAAATTCCAACTTGGGCATCTTCCAACTGGACTTTGCCACCAGCGCCTTTCACACGACGCAAGACTTCGCTAATTGAATTGCTCACAGATAATCCTACTGACAAGACTCTTAATTCACAGCTCTGAGTAAAAGACAGTCGGGAGAGGAGAAACGGAATGAGACAAAGATGCTTTATGTCGAAAACAGTGTTTTGTGTAACATCAAATCAGTACATTGGCAAATCCAATATTTTCTCAAGTATTGAGGTTTTGAAATCACATGATTCAAGTCAGCTGATTTACACTTGTCGGTCATACTGGCCGATCAGCCAAGCGAACTTCCATCGATAAGCAAATGCAATAAACTCCGAATATGTCAAGTGTGTGATGAATCATGCTTCTAAAAACTGTTCAAACACCATTATTAACACTATCAAGTGAAGTTAGTCATTTTCAGAGCGAGAATCGTAAAAGATATGTAAAGGAACTTCAATAAGGAACATTGAAGAACAATGTGTAACTTGTCATCTGGCCTGCTCCAAGTTATGCTTCATCTGTTGCAAGCAGTTGCTAGTATTATTATTTCTGAAAAGTTGGCTACACACCGACTTCTGTAATATGTTAACTCCAAGTTTTACCGTCTTTGTAAATCCTTGGGAAGCAGTCATGGTAGAGTTGACTTATCATCTTGTTGGCTGCTACACTCAACAACTCAACAAACAATAACCGTCGTAAAGGC